TAAAAATATTACATAAATATCTGAACTGTTCAACTTTTACATTATTTCAGTTTGCTGTAGACATGTATGAGAAAGAAGTAATTTAGGTTTATTTAGACTTTTCCACAAATATTGGATCAATGAAGAGTCCAGTCAAATGTTAACAACATAAACTATTGAACTATGCAGAATTGATAGCACGTTTCTTGTGGAATATAGTGGCAGTAATGTAGCTTGGATCAAAGGAGGAGGTTACTGTTTTTACTATAATAATCAGATTCAATTTGTTATTTCCACTTATCATGTTCATTCGTCTGATTCTGATGCAATCAAGTCCCACTTTATGGTATGTCAATCATCTACTTAATTTCTGGGGTACATGAGGCTTAAGTCTTATGGTAGCGTCCTCTTTACCGAGCTACCAGGCAAGTACAGCTCTATTTAAAAAGAGAGTATATGCTGTAACTTGCTAGGGAGCACGATACATGGGTCAATAATACAATGTGTACATGTACCTACGCAGAACTAATAGCGCGCAAGTTTGTAACATTTTTTGTTTGTTTTACATGGTAAGATATTATTTTGATTACATTCTCATTGGTAGATTCCTCTGCATCAGAGTTCTTTCGAGAAGCCACAATGTTTACACTGTCTTGCACTTTTCAGTTTCAGATTGCATTTTGTGGACTTTGCTGCAGTTGCTCCACCAGTCATCTTTTGAGGAAAGTCTCTCGCGTAGGAGTTTTGTTTTTTTATATGAAAAGCATCTGAATCAACCTCTTTCGTTTAACTTCAATCAACCTCTTTCGTTTAACTTCTTTCTCAATTGTCTTATGATAAGACCTTTGAAGCCTCTGAGGAAGTCTATCTGATTCCATGTAATGTTGGTTTTCTGGACGAGGTTTCTTGCCAGTACTTGAGCTTCTAACTACTAATGTTGTCGTCGGGGTAAGTATTACTTCTGCTCATTTACATTACTTAACTTTTGCTTGGGACAGTCTTACCAATTTGTTTTCTCCATCACAAGAACTGTATTTTATAGGGATGTGCTTCTTCTGCATAAAAACACGGTGATAACAAGAAAGTTAAAAATGGAGTTTATGTGGGAGATGAAACGAGGACTCATGTCTACTTCTAGATTAAGATGTCGTATCCGTAGGTTGGTCTTTCTTATTTTTGTATTGTAATATTGTTTTTGGATTAAAATATGTTTTTCTATATTTTCTAAGAAACAAAAAAATTAGGATAGAAATAATAGCTAAAAAATTTTAATTATTCAAAAAATTAAAGTTAGTATTTTAATCTTAGCTGTGCTAGACATATTCTTTCCTTCAAATTTCATATTTTGGATTAAGCGATCGGCATTTACATATATTTTAGATCTATATTGGGCAGTTATAAGATATAAACATCATTTATAAAAAAAGTGCTAATAACTTTTTTAAAATAAATATTTTCAAAACTATCATTTATAAAAAAGTATTATCTTCATTGTAAATTATATATATGTTATATAACTAAAAATATTTAAAAATAATAAAGCTTGTGCTCTGGAGGTAATACTAGTTAGGTTGTAACAGTAAAAGCTCAAGTGGAAATGTTGTGATTGCAGAGTCAAACAAGAAGTTTAATAGAACTATTTATTTAGACTTTGAGGTGCTACTTTATGTTGCATCACACCGTGGTCCCGTTCTCTGTTTTTATCAGGTAAGTATTTAGTCTGATTTTCAGGCTGTATTTTTTTCGTTTTTAGCTCCCATTCATTTTCGTGTTTTTTGTAAGTTCTACTGGTTGTTTAGCTAATGGTACTATACAGCTAATAGACTAATTATTGTTTTATTGTAGGACCATCTTTTCCAGCTTGGCTTGGCTTTTGGAACACTCGAAAAACAATGTTACAAAAAGTTTAGTATAGGCCACCTAATACGCGAGTAATCAATTATCTTGGTGTTGAAAAAAAAACAGTCATATGTACGCTTAACATACGGTGTAAAACACATAAAAAGTACGGTTTGAAAATTCTACGAAGAGAAAAAATCATTCGGTTAAAAATTCTAGTTTCGATCCAAAATTTGGTTCAGATTAACCTCCAACGAAAGTTCTTTTGACATAGTATAACGTACTAGAACGGCATGGTTTTATGTGTTTTAAACACCAATGAATGTACAAATAAGATTTGGAGTTGTGCAAATTAACTCCATTTGTTTATTCCTCATATATTCTTCATTAGAGTACATCATACTGGTTTGTTGTTCTTGGAGATGGGCTCTACGCTCCCTCTACATAGCACGTGAAGGTCCCTCGTGGCTGCTGCATCTGATCCAAGAAGATGCATCTTCTCCTCCGGATTCAAGACCGTGACAGCTCTCTTCGTGGTGTTGAATCCTTCCAGGATCCGGATTTGCTTTTGACTTATCCCTTTATTTCTAAGCCTTATTTTGGTCAGGCCCTTTTGGTGCCTTCTATCATAGAACTCTTTGCTTTAGTTCTATGGTTCTGTTTTCTCTCCATCACTACTCTGTTTGGAGACCCCTCTGTTTGGAGACCCCTTTTCTTTTTTTGAACAACAAAGACCCCTTTTCTTACAACCATAATGAAGTTTACAGAGTGTTAAAAAAAATTCAAACCTATTTTGCAAAAGATTTGTCATTCCTCGTTTATATACCATTTTATTCAATTAACTATTACGGCTTCCCTTTAAATAGTACTATCTCAATTCTATTATATATATATATATATATATATATATATCTCTTTCACAACTAAAAAATGAAACAGACATATTTGATGTTAACAATAATAATTTTTAAAGTAGGTGAGTGCGTGCTAAAACATATCGATCTTCCAATTGGCTCAACATCATCGATTTCATGATCAAGTACATGTAGTATAAAAAATCATCCTTGGCTTTTTTTTCGTATTATTTTGTTGGGGTTAATCATAAGCAAAACAAAACCCAAAATTAGATTTTTATAAAGAGGATAGAGAGATAGAAAGAGAAAAAGAGAGAGAATAAAATTATGTAATTTCTCTAGCTTATTTCTTACTCTAATTTTAAACCAATAGAAAATTAATTAGTGTAATTGAATTTTTTAAAGTTTACAATTAGTTAATAAAATATACATTGAAATGTAAAAAATAGATTTTTAAGAAATAATTTTTTCTCTCTAAAATATGTATCTTTAAAGAACAGAGGGAATAATAAAATTTTGATTAGTTTGTGAATTTATTTATTTTTTAGTTAGTGATGTAATTTCAATTTTTTTTTTTGGAAAAGGCGTAAGATAATAAATTTTGTTGCCTCCATTTTTACTTTTCAGTGAAATACATTTAAATTTTGATTTCCTTTATGTCGTGTCGTTTAGTAACCAAGTTGGCAACTTCGCGAAAATTTACCAAGTTGGCAACTTGCACCAGCATCACCTTTGCCTTAATTAGAAGATATTGATTTCCAAAGTATGCAAAATAGAAAGAAAACAAAAGTGGTTTCTCAGTTTCTTATTATGTCTCGATCCAACCAAATTTGATGATATTTATGTGTAAAAATAATATTAAGAATATTCTTATTGATGCTTATTGATGATATCAATAAGAAAAACAAAAGATTAATTTTTTATGAGAATGAGAAATTTCTCAAAATTTGTTTTTTTTTGTGTCAACTTTGGTCTCAAAATTTGTTATAAAAGATTAAAACTACATATCATGTATAACTAGTTCAGTTTTTCGTTTAAGAAAAAAATTTGTACTACTTGTATTAATTACTGTATTTGCTTAAAAATTCATAAAGATATTGATGATAAAGTTGTAATCGTCGTCTCATAATGGATCGGCCACAACAAATTTTATAACAAAAAAGGAAAAAAGACAAAGGATGGGATATATTCAAGTGGGGACACAGGCTGACACTAATATAAAAACGGGTGTGTAAAGGTGGGACGAATATGGAGTAATTACTACGCTGTAACACGGCACGCACTTTTAATACTTAACTGAAACTTGAATGAGAGAGAGAGAGTCCATCATCGTAAATACGCTTCCTGTAGTATGGGTTTCTCGTGTTTTCATATCTCCCCTCTTTTAGGGTCGGTTCAAAATTGCTACACAATCGTTTTACAACTCTCATTTTTACGGTTAGTCAATCATATTGTGTTTCACCAGATAACATGGAATGCTACTGGATAAGTATTTTAGATGATTTTTTGTAATGAATACCTTTTCATTGTAGCTAGCATTTACAAATTTTATACAAAACCCAAATTTATTAGATTAATCATTTGTATAAATTCTTCCAAATTCTCTATTGGAATATAGATTTTATAATAAACCTATCAAACAGATTTTGGTAAAATTTGGATAATATTTTATTGTAAAAAAACAGTAAATTGAAATACTACTTCTTATGATACTATCTGATTATTTTTATTTGATGATATCGGATTTTTTTTAAATAGAAAAATACACATCACACTTTTTGATAAAAAAATTTAAAATGCTTGAAATGGAGAAAAAATTGAAATTGAAATTTTAATTTTTTTTAGAGATTTCATAAAGCAATAAAAATCAAGTTATAGTAATTAAAAATGAATATTATTTTAAATAAATATTTAAGGTATTTTAAAAAGCTCTGTTTTTCTTTAGCAAAAAACTTAATTTTGTAACAAATTCTTTAAGTTTTACTCAAATCTCTGGATTTTCTTTTTCAAATCCTTGATCTACTAAGCATTCATTAGTCATGACTACACTCTAGCTTACTTGTTGACCATTTTTTTTTTTTAAAACTGGCTTTTACTTGTTGACAATTTTACATGAATGAACTGTATTAATTAGTATGGTGTGCCAAAACTCATATCTAAAAACAAAGTGTGAACAAAAAAATGCCATTGGGAAACAGAGTTAATCTTGATATTTGTTCTATTTTCTATTATTTTTTATTAGTATTTAACATTCAAGAAATTGAAAAGCACAATGACATTTAATCTAACACGAATAAAGTATAAAATACAACAAACTTAACGTGAATATCAATCTTTTACCCAAACAGAGAAAATACACGTGAAAATCTTATTACGATACTTTGATAAAGTTATAACAAACCATAAATACAAAAAAAAAATCACAAGAATCCTAATTTGAGACAATCTATTTTTATTTTTAAAAAGTTACCTTTTTCGTATTGTTTTTACGACAGTTTTATTGCGTGGACTGAAATTTTAACTGACTATCAAAGAACATATACCTACCCAAAAAGGAAAGATTCCTACTTATCCACAATGGTAAATGTCCAAAGTAACCTTAAGATATCAAGGTCAAACTGTAAACTAAGGTTAAAACAGACAAAAGAGTAGAATCTTCTTATATGAAGCAGCGTAAATAAACATTTCCCGAAAAGGTAATTCAGAAAGTAAAAACAAAAAAAAAAACAAATTTCATTTTCCCATTTTCTTTCCAAATATTTATAATTTGTTTCGTTTTTTCTTTCAGGTCACCTGAGAACCGCTTCCGCCGCCGGCGTTCCTAGCCATAGCTTCAGTAACAGTCGCCAACTTCTGGAGATTAAGCTTCACCACCGTATCCGCGAACATCCGCGTATCGTCCTCCGTGTTCCCCTCCGGCATATCCACGACGTACGACTCCAACACCACCGTCCAGATCCGCCCCTCCTTCTCGAACCTGTGCACCGTCGTCACCGACTTGTAATTCGTCAGCCTGTGCTCTCCCCCGATGATGCTGAACCCCGTCACCCTCCTCTCGTCGTCGAGTATGTCGAGCCTCTCCGTCGAGGTGTTCGCCGGCAGGCCGCTGATCACGTTGACGGCGCGCGTGCATCCGACGCGCATCTCGAAGTCTTTGTCGACAGAGCAGGATTTGATGAAGTGCTTGTAGGTCTGCGGCTTGTCGAAGCGGCGGACGACGGACCAGACGATCTCGGGAGGCGCGTGGATTCGCTGCGCGTGGAGGGAGGAGCAGCTTCCGGGACCGAGGTGGTATGTGTGGAACTCGGCGATCGATGAAGCGAGATCGGATCGTTCTTCTTGAGTTAACTGCGAAGGCATGGTGATGGTGGAGACTTTTTTTTTTTTGGGGAGGTTTTTGTGTTTTTTTTTATTTGTTGACTACAATCTCAAGCTCTCTCTCTCTATATATTTGTGGATGATACATTCTAAACATGATAGACACTAAGGCCCATTGATTAATAAGGCCCATTAGTAAAACACACAAAGCGTATGGGTAACATGTAGACATGTTAAAGCTGAGTGAAGTCCAAGTGGAACTTTGAAAATTTAAGTGGTCGCTAATCGCTATTAGAAACTTCTTCTCAGCCGTTGGATTGACTCTGTGTCCATCATCCAACGGTTAATTGTTTTGTTTCTATTTATTAACATCAAAATATAAAAACGGGCGATATCTTTCAATACTAAAAGGAAAATAAGGTGAATGAGGAGAATGTTCATATAGGACTAGAAAATCAACTAATAAGAAGTTTTAAATTTGTCATGTCAGCCTAGCTGCTGAATTATACAAATAATTTGGACCAAATATCTTAAGTTGGATATAGTTACAACTTTAAAACCCACATATTTTTTTTTTGTCTATGACGCTTAACTTATTTACAATAATATATGTGGTCCATATCAAATCCAAGACCTAATTTTCAAGAACAATATCCCCTCTTACATTCAACTCCGTCTTCATCGTTCCAATTCTCTGCTATTCCCCGTTTCTGAGTATTAATCGATCCATTATTGTTCGTCCATTTCTGTTCTTAATTGTCATGATAACTTTTCACATCCCTTTCTTTTTCTTTCTATATAAACCTCTTTGTGGAAGCTTCATGGAACCATATTCGATATTCCTATATTCAACAACATCTATCGATGGCCATGAAATCAGCTCAACTCTCCAGAAAGTCTCATGTTCCATTGTATTTCAATGACGTCTCACCAGTTCTGTCGGAGTCGGAACTACGGGTCCGTTAGACGGAAAGCCAGAAACGCAACCAAAGGTTGGATGCTTATTGAGTTAGAGATGCTTACATCGACAAACATATATTTGTGTGTTTGTAAGCTATTTCATTCCGGCAACATCTCATATAAATTTTGTGGCCTATACATATACTGGTATACTAAATGCTTATTTATAACTGAAAGTATCTATATATCTACATAACAATATTATACCATGAATTTTTTTAATAAAATATTAAAATCTCATTCGTCTTTCACCATGACATGTCATTGGCTCATAAGTCTTATCACTAACGTCTATATAACTTAGTATATGTGAAAAGGATATTGTCAGGTCTATACAACTCATGAATTTCTTCTTTCCAAAAAGCAAAGAGTTGCTTATCTCTGTTTAACAATATGTTTCCAGCACAGCTCTCTTCTCTGCAATCTTGACCACATGTGCCTCCTTATCGACCATGACCGGTTCAGGTTCCACGTTCATGAAAAATCTGAAGCGAACTGTGGAATGAGGGGAGACCTCTTTGGTAAGCTTTTAAACCACATGTAACGTACTTGCTTCTTTGCGTTTGCTTAACCAGTTTGTTCTTACGATGCTTATTTTCCCTTTATAATTATTTTCCAATCTTAAGTTACTTCCATGTTTTAATGTTTCACCCTAATGGTTTGAATTTGCTATGACCACAACTACTTTTTCTGTTAACTTTAAAAGCCTACATGTTTTATGCATGGTCTCAGGTTGGGTGCTAACCCAGATTGCTAAGCTTGTCACTGTAGAGGAGGTAACTAAGATTGAGCCAAAGACAATCGGAGAAATCTTTGCTTATATCAAGCAGGGATCAGTCAGGATAAAATACAAACTGTATATGAACCACACAAAACAAAAGACTAAACAATATAAATCACTACTTTTTAACAAATGCATGAGGTGTTTTTTGAGAGCATAATCAATGTTTACCGTTACTGTTCTTGGTATTATAAAGCCTGCAGTGATTTCAAAACTAAGACCAAAAAGGACCTATTTCATTAATATGCATAAAGTGTGGAAACGTGAAAACACAACCTGAGCGCAACATAATTTACTCTTTTTTTAGTAATCAGTAAAGACTCTGCTTGGTGTTTGATTTCTTTTTCCTCTTATTCACAGGTATCTTGCTAAGATTTCTGCTACGCTAACAACGACCAGGCTCTGTTTGTGTTATTTGGTGATGCAGGCTGTGAGTTTAATCGAAAGCATGCTCATAATTAGTTGACGAGTATTTTGAGGTAGCTTGCCATCTGAATATTAATTGCTTTTGTGTAATTTAACCTAATTTGACTTTTGTAAATGCTAGGCTAATGGCAATTTTGGTCCAGACCAGGACTCAAAGTGTAATAGTTACAAAGGTTGTGTTGCAGCCTCAAACTGCCCCAGTTGGGGTCCCACTTGCCGCCACTGCTGATGCATCCATCCACTGCCTTTGTAGGTGTTACTTTACTTGGGGGAATAGAGAATCAGCCACTCATGTCATATGTCGCTCTCCTACGTCAGAGTGTTACCTATTATTCTCTTTTAGATTCTGAGTTTTTGCTAAGTTTTTTTTTTCCAAATTTTAGTATGGCTATATTTGCAAGAAGTTCATTTATTTGTTCAGACTTTCATTTCCTTTGGATTATTTACTGCATCTCTTTGCTTAATAATTATCAGTTTTCAAGACATATACTTCGTATTTTACACTACAATTGTAAATACTATGCTGAGTGATTGCTATTACGTATGTATCGACTGTCTTTGTGTTTCTAAGTTCAAATCAAAAAATTTCCCGGTAATCTCTTCTTACAATTTAGGAACAACTACGCAAGTCCAGGCATCAAAACTACAATATTGTTAGTCAAAGTTACATGAATGCTCCACCCCTTGACAGACGTAATTTGCGCAGAAATGAAGCACCAAATCATCGAGTCCATATCCAAGTAGTAAGGAGTATATCTACTTGCCATGTTTCCATCTTCCCGAATGTTAATTAACAACAAGGTAAATATTCCAGTCAAAAAATCCATATGCTATCTTTCTATTAAGGGGCTACTAAGCAATTTTTCAAAGAAACGCAACGCAAAAAATACCTCGCCTCCTTTTTCCTCAATTTCCATATCGCCTTTTATAACCACCATATCACTGTATCCTAGCTATTCCACGAAGGCGCACTTTTATAAAGACACATCATTTCTATCAACTGTACATGTGTGAGAAAATTCCTTCACAAACCAAACCTTCCTGTTCATAACTTCTACTTACTAAATAATTCAATACAAGGGCCACCATCTCGAACGTAATGCAACAACCATCTCCTACACAATGGAAGTAATACACATCCCCATTTCAACAAGCTTAATGTTGTGTGTCAGAAAGCTAAGCTGAATAGTTTTTTTGTACATTTAGTTACTCTCTATACATAGTACATTTAGTTGTATTTTAACACTTGGTATTTATCGTACAATTGTCACTTACCAAAAAACAGCTAATACCTCTTGGTAATGAAAAGGAAGGCATGTACTAGAAATTTCAATTATTTTTTCCCTCTCACCATAACTATTTGGTTTTAAGAAATTGACTTATTGGTATTTCAAAACATATGTAATTGACATTCTCATGGAGAATCAAAGTATCCAGATAAAATAAACCTTAACTAAAATGAGGTGATGGTGATAAATAGTTGTGTGGAATGAAAGATATGATAAATAATAAGTACATTATCTAGATTATAGCTACCATTTTTAAATATTCTTTCTTCTTTTAAGCAATCACAAAAGGATCCACATGATGTAAAAATAGTTTTTTTTTCTTGAATAAATTTAACTTTGATTCACAAAAAAGAAGAAGAATAAGTAAGTGTTTTGTAGTTTAGTTGTCATAGTCATATTAATTTTGATTGGATTGAGTTTTACTAAATGTTTACCACTGGACACTGTTAGAGATTTTGGCTGTCGGTTTGTTGGAGATGGTCAACAACATTTTCACAATGCAAAAATCATGAAAAACAATTAAGCCAAACTTCAATACAAGGCAGACCACTACGTAATAATCTTGAATAACTATTCCTTTATAGTTTTGTTTTGAAACAAAAAAAAATTCTTTTATAGTTTAAAGGTTTCTTTTTTTCGAACATTTAGTTTAAAGATTTGGCCAGATTACGATCTCCTATAAATTAATTCATATTTAATTTTATTAGTTTTAGAATTTCTATTGTATACTTTTGAAATATGTACATTTTATATTTTAAATGGTGTACAAAAAAACACCATTGTATAAAAACCAATTCATACTTCTCTTTCTATGCATCCACAAATCACTCGCTATTTCATTCTATTTAGTGGCACACTATTATTAAGTAGTTGATAACTATTAAACTCTTAAATGTCACATAAACATAACATATGTTACTCAATCGTCATGGTCCTATCAAACAATGTTATATTATAACAATAACTAATATATAGTCAAGATCTAGGCTTAAAAGTGTTTTCTATACTTGCCAAAACCAGTCTTCACTCATGGGCAATTGTATGTGGCATTTTCAGTGTTACTAACAAAGCTTGGTTGACAATTATATAAGGAACATCTCCACCTACTCCAAAACTAAATTATAAAGTGTAAAAGAATCTTTTACGATCTACAATTATCTGAAGTTAATAAAACAAATCTATTTAAAATTTAATTTCAATATGTTGCTGATTTAAATATTAAATTTACAATGTTAAAACTCCACCAAATATGATTAAAAATGACTAATTGTTTCTTAACCCTCTTCAAGGCCTTCACTTGATACAATTCAAATTACTGCTATTAGTCTTTTTTTTTTGAAATAGTATCCCCTGTATAATGAAAAATTGAATTTATGTATCGGTTGAATTTTTTTCATATGCTAAGTTTTTTTAATTGCGTAAGTTATCACTAGCTTTTAAAGATTTTTTATGCTCTTTCCAAAATCACATCATTCCGTAAACATGCTGTTGTCTTTTCCACATACATAAATCGTAAAATAATTAAAAGTAACAAATCAACTTATAACCTTTAACAATATTCTTTTAATACTTTGGTAAAACGTTAGAAAAGCTGGTACTCATCTACTCAAGGAATAAGTTTCTACTTCGATAAAAATATCAATAATATGAAAAGCTTCTTAGAAAATTATAAAGACAAAACCAATAAAAAATGGAATCAAACCACCGTGAACAAAAGCCGATGGGATGGTTTTAAGAAATGCAATCTTTCAGCTTAATTTTTTTATCAGTTTATATATTCTGTACATTTTACATCATGCATGAATATTATTCATTAATTACTCGAAAAAGTTGCCAAGGCAGAAGCGAATGTCTTTTGGTTACGTTTGAATATGAGGATGTCATTACGAAGATGAATTTTCAAACTGAAAGTGTAGCTATTAGATGATTAACTACTTTTTGTGTTGCTTTCTAATATATATTTTGAAAAAGTGTATTTTTAATGTTAAAACTTATGTTTGAGATCTTAATATTTTGACTTATAGATATTTTAACTTATGTATATTTTATATCTTGCTTATACTTTGCTTGTCATTTCAGTGTCGTATCTTTATCTAAAATTTTAAGTGTCCCGTTCCTTTCCCAATGCAGCTTAGTGCCTTTATGCTTCTTCTTTCATAAGGTAACCCTTTTTCTTGCTTTACATATTTCTTGAGTTTTAAGCTTGTATAGAAAGCTTGATTCATACTTTATAAGTTTGTGCATTTGGTATAATACTGCTTTGTAGAAGCCAACACATCCCTAGAAACTGTAGTCTTAAATAAGACATGTGTGTACTATGTGTATTTCATGATATGTGATCCATAGTTGAGTGTCACAATCATCAGAGGCAACAGTTTGGAAGGACCCATATATATGATTATTTTCCGGCAAAGGTGTCTCCTCCAAAATATTTTTTTGGCTTAATGTTCTATGTTATCTTTTGCCCGGAGTAATCTAGTTTCTCCGGTTGGCGAAGAATAGTCAGATTCACTATCATGTGAGTTTAGTTATTGTTTTTGGCATGTGTGAGATGACTGCTTATTACTTTGAATACTCTATTTTGAATTCAACAAAAAAACTAATATAACTTACTTTGTGGGATGTGAGTTTTACTTGCATTAAAAAAATTGTCTATGGAATTCTTATGTTAGTCGTCTCTATGGATTTCAAGCCTAACCTTTGTGATAAGGCTCTTCTTCTCGGAGTTGGAGTCGTCTGTCTCGTGGCATCAATGGCTATTGAGGATATCGAGCACTTGGGTAACATCCCTCGAAAGTCTCTGTTGTTTTTCGTGACATCGTTAAAATTTTGCTTCATTCTCTTAATTTTATCATCTCTTTTAATTGACATTGAAGTTCTAGTTTGCTATTGCAGGATATCAAGAACTTGGGTAACCTCCCTCGAAAATCTCTATTGTTTTCGTGACATCATTGAAATTTTGCTTCATTCACTTGATTTTATTATCTCTTTTAATTGACATTGAAGTTCTAGGAAGTACATGAATAGTTGATACGGAGTTGAAACAGTTTTTTCTTTAAGTTTATTGCTGAGCTTATTCTGAGTTGCAGAGGAAATGTGGGAACCGAAATCCACACCGTCGATTTTCCGTCAAATATGGAAACTTAGGATGAAACCCTAATTTTCCAGAGGTCCTGGATCTCTGCGAAAATCACTAAAACAAACGAATTTAACATAATATGGATGAGCAATGAAGAACAGAGAATAAAGAACTTGTATGAAAGCTTTTATTAAATAAGAAATCGACAACTGTTACAACAAGAATTGAAGAACAACTTAGACGTCGAAACGTTCTAAGGATCTGGGTTGCTAGTCTAAACGCTAAGTCCTAAATTCCTGAGCTAACAGCCGTCTCTTTAGGTCTGATTTTTCGTCCTCCTTCTCTTCCCTATGCCTCTGGCTTATATACTCCTTTCCCAAGCGACTAAATCTTTCCATTTTGCCCGGATTCGAGTTTATCGAGAAACTTTCTTTTATCTCCATCCTTCCTTTCTTCCCGCGGAAATCTTCTATTTATCTTCAAACTTGCCTTTTATTTCCCTTCTCCGAATAAACCGTCAAAACGTTATCGTATCTTTGGGTTTGATTTCGTTAATGTCTCGAGATGGGTTTTTATCG